CTCCAACCCCCCCAACCCCCCCTAACCCCCTAAGCCACTTTCTTAAGATACTGGCGGAAGATGGCTGACACCGACGGCAGGCACAAGATCATCACCGGATCAAGAGACAGGACGATTCGCGTGTGGGACATGCACACCCTGCAGTGCCGCCTGGTGATCGGACCGGCAGGTATCGTGCAGGGCTCGGACATGGTGCGGGACCGCAACGGCGACTCGGTGCATTACGCCTCGGACTCGGACGGACGCAAGACGGCAACGTCGGTGCCCACGGCGCTCTCGTTTGACGAGCACCATGACGCGTCGATCCTGTGCCTCCAGTATGACGATACGATGCTGGCGACGGGATCGTCGGACTCGACATGCATCCTGTACGACATGCGGGACGGGTACAAGCCGGTGCGACGGCTCCGGCATCACACGGCAGCGATCCTGGACCTCGCGTTCGACGACAAGCACATTGTGACGTGCAGCAAGGACGTCAGCATCTGCGTGTGGGACCGGGCCACGGGTCAGCTCCTGCGGCAGCTGCGGGGTCACACGGGCCCGGTCAACGCGGTGCAGATGCGGGGCAACACGATCGTGTCGTGCTCGGGCGACTTCAAGGTGAAGCTGTGGAACATTGACACGGGCAAGAACATACGCGAGTTCGTGGGCCACACGAAGGGGCTGGCGTGCTCGCAGTTCAGCGAGGACGGGCGGTACGTGGCGTCGGCGGGCAACGACAAGATGATACGGGTCTGGGACGCCAACACGGGCGAGCTCCTGTGGGAGAAGAAGGCGCACGACAACCTGGTGCGGAGCCTGCACATCGACAGCGTGAGCGGCCGGCTCGTCAGCGGATCGTACGACACGGACATCAAGGTGTGGGACATGGAGACGGGGGACCAGCTGCTCGAGTTCCCGCAGTGGCACGCCAGCTGGGTCCTCAGCGCGAAGAGCGACTACAGGCGCATCGTCAGCACGGGGCAGGATCCAAAGATTCTCATCATGGACTTTGGCGCGGATATTGACGGGGTGGAGATGCTCGAGAGTCGAGATACGAATGCCATGGGTGGTGGGTTCATCTAGTCTTCTCATCTCCCCCACCCCGCACAATCATCATCACGTCTCTCTCCATCTCTTCCTCTCCTCTCCTCACTCCTTTCTTCTCTTCTCTTCTTCTTGGCATATCACTCTTTTAGCCTGGCGAGTTCTTTCTTCTCATCATCATTTTAATCCCGGTCTTCTTGGGGTTGCTTCTCATCTTCCCAAACATGGGGTCAGAGGGATCTCCTATCTCTCTACATCTCAGGTTGTTCTTACCTGCCGGCTGGGTTTGCCTGTTCTCGCCAGTCGACTGGGTTTCCCTATGGCACAACTCTGTCTGATTCTTCCGTGTTTCTCTCACCATGGACTTGGGGAATCCTCTATATTGTAGTCTCTTCTTCTCGTTAAGACACACGAGCAAGACATTGCGCATAGAATCTTATACGCAAGGAATTTCTCTCTAAAATACTCTCTCCAATCATCAATTCTTGATTCCTCTCCTGGCGGTTTATATTGATGAGCATATGATGTGACGCTGCATGATCTGGTGGTGCACCGTGTGAGGGCGCTGATGGTTGCGGTGTCCTCGGTAGAGTACAAGTCACCGGGGGGGGGGGGGGGGGGGGGGGGGGGGGGGGGGGGGGGGGGGGGGGGGGGGGGGGGGGGGGGGGGGGGGGGGGGGGGGGGGGGGGGGGGGGGGGGGGGGGGGGGGGGGGATGCGGTACTACAACGTAGCAAAGTCATCGGACCGGAGGCCATGGGGAGGTAGCAATGGAGATGGAAACGGTCACCTATCACACAACGTAAGGAGCCATCGTTACAGGGAGATGATCATGAGCGCATGCCATTCCTGTCCTCCTCTCTTCAATCTTATATTTATCTGTTTTCATCTCATTTACATCTCATTATTCGTCATGTTTCGGAGTGGTGGGATAGACGAGACGGGGTGTGTTCTAAAAGAGGAAGTTGGGAACACTGTGACTGAATTGTCAGGCCTGTGGTAAATGAATCCGAGCACGGGAAACATGTCAAGGGGAAGCGAATAACAGAAACAGGTTATTATCATTATAACGTAAGAAAGGAGGGCCGGGGGGGGAAGGGGAAGGGGGAGGAAGAAGAGGGAGAGAAAAAAGAGAAAAAGAGACCTGATCCTCGTGCAGAGGATTCTCGATCGATAAGAGTAAGTCAGGAGTGAACCGAAGTGAAGGTGAAGGAGGGGAGGGGGTCAATTGGGAATACTCGTAGTAATCTTCCCCGCAATCGTGAGTGCTTGGGAGTCGGGACGGTGAGTCGGGACTGCGAAGTCGGTAACTGTGCGTGACAGAATCTCTCGACTTGTGCAGACCGATGACGTATCACAGACTGTAGACGATATACATGCATGCATTAGCAGCAGCAGCAGCAGCAGCAGCTAAGGTACTATTAGTAATTCAGTTCAAATGTATGCATGTAGTGCAGCATGCAGATCAGATCAGATGGGTTGTCACGACGTACGAGTACGATGGACGGGTACGACGTTGTACAGTCATATGAGTTCGGTCATGATCCAGCCATTTACATATATATGATATTCTTGTCAGAGGCAGGTGATGGGATGTAAATATCTTGTTTATAGAGAGAGGAGAGGCAGAGAGAGAGAGAGAGAGAGAGAGAGAGAGGCAGAGAGAGAGGGAAGAGACCTGCCTTCCCGAATTAGACACAAATGCCGAGCATCGAGGAAGGAACGAGGAATTGCTCCTGCAGGTACGATACAAACATGAGTAATGTACGAGTAGCCTATAGTAACGCTGTAATCAGGCCATACATGCACTTGTAAGTGATGGCGAGGTCCCACTTAATATCTGGTAAATCGGGGAAAAGTTGGTAATATTACTAATAATGATGATACTCTACAGAGTACAGGTAATAATAGTAAGTAAAAAACAGTAATAGTAGTATCAGTACGTACACATTACGAGCAATACAGATTAGTATGAAAGGAAACATGGTACGGCTATGAATACTACTCTGCTGTCTAACAGACGAAACAATCTTTATTTTACTTTACGAGGGAAGTGAGCTGTAGAGGAAGGTAGGCAGGGATATCATGCCACCTTGTTACCTTCTAGTCAGAAGAGTCCTGTTTGTGGCTGGCTCGACAATGACATCGGGTAGGAACCACTGGTCAGTCACGCTCTTGCCTGAAACATTCTGCATCGTGTCTGCGGTTTTAGGCGCGTGACAAGCATTCCACCACGGGGCTCTCTCTCTCTATTCTAGTTTTCTTATTACGTAGGACTGAATACACAGAGTACCTGTCCTCTCTCTTCTCTTCCCTCCTCTCCTTCTCCTTCTTCTTTCATCTTCTTCTAGAGAATACGCATCATCCCGATTAGGTAGGAGGAGCAAGCACATGTATCCTTCATCCACAACACACACACACACACACACACACACACACACACACACATACACACACAACCTGCTTTGCTCCCTCGAGGGCTAAAGCTGGCATCTCGAATTTGGGACCCCTGCCTCTTCTCCACTTCTCAGGCAGGCAGGCAAACAGGCGCTACTCTTTTGAAACGACACAAGAAGAAGAAAACATCGCTCGGGATTGCCAGGTCTTGCCATCCAATCGTTTCATATTGCTTGGCCCTTTTTTAGGACCACCATGACCTTTCCCCTATTCTTGCTCTTCCTGTAGCCTGTAGGTGGTATGAACAGTGCAAAGCTTCTCACCGCAGATCCATGCCAGTTACTGTCCCAGTCGCTCATCTGCCCTCAATTCAAGGTGACTCTCAATCTACCACTCGTCGGTATACCCGCTTCCATGGCTGTCACTCTCTCACTCCCTTACGCTGCTAACGTAGTGATACCTGGCGGTTACGCTTATGGAGACTTGCACAGATAGTAAATATCATCGGGTATCACTCCTCTACTCTAGCAGTGATGCTACTTCACTACCAAGTAACATCAACCCGTAGAATGTTGACCCCCGTAAAGCTCCCTACCGCATTCTCACCATAATAACCCTCTTCTCCCTCCCGTCTTCTCCCTTTCCTTTCCTTCCCTTCCCTCCTCCTCTCTTCATCTTCTCCCCTCTCTTCACCTTCATTCTGTTTTCCTGTCCTGTCCTTTCTGTCGCCTCTCCCTTACACACGCAAGAGAGTCACTCTCTTTTCAAGGGCCTCCGCCCCTCTACGTCATTCCCTTTTGGTAAGTCGAGATGCCACTGAGACATCAAACCCCATCGTGACCCGCCTTCAACGTGCCATCCAAAGTCATCCACCACCTCTTTTTTCCTGCTTCTTCTTTTTCTCCTTCTCTGTCTGTCTCCCTCCCGCCCTCGCTACTATTATCACTATTGCTACTGCCGGGTGGCAGTTGCGATAACAACTGCATGTGCCGTGTGTATTGCAATGCAACGCTACACCAACCTCGTCATCATATTCTTCCCCTATACTTGCCCTTCTCAGCTCACACACCTTGATCATAACCATCACCATCACGCCCCCCCCCCCAATCCACCATTACTCACTCACCTCCATTCACCATGATTCACTCTTCACCCACAATTCACATTATTCTCTTCCCACTCTCCTTCCATTCATCCACCCCAGCCTCCTCTCCCGTACACGAGCACGGGTTTTAAAAAAGAGACGGCACGCTCACTTCTCTCATGGCCACCATCTTGCTTCTCTTGCACGCGCACCTCCTCCCCATACACCACAGAATCACCTTGCCTCCCCCCCTCGCCCTCGATCACTTCATCTTCACATGATCGAGAGGTGAGCATATTGTCACCTATCCCATCAGAAGCAGGAATCGAGACCCTTGCCTCATACATACATACATACATATATATATATATATACATATATATAAAACTCTCCCCCAAAAGTCCCCAAGCTCATCTCTGATAAGTTACATCACAGACATTTCGCACTCTTAGCTCCCGAGAGACATCTCTCACACCTCACGTAGCTGGTCTACAACAAGGAAACATACAGAGCAGCGAGAAGAAGAAAAAACAACAACATGAAGGCCCTCTCCACCTTTGTCGGCACATCTCTGCTGGCCCTTGGCCTCATGGGCCCGGAGGTTCTGGGTGCTGCCACGGTCCAGACGTCTGCCGCTACTGGCGGCAGCGACGTCTCGGCCGCGGCCGACAGCACATGGTGGTTCGCCAACATCGAGCGCACCGGCAAGGTGCCCTTCGGCTCCGTGGCGGACGACTACCCCATCTTCCGCAACGTCAAGGACTACGGCGCTACCGGTGACGGCTCGACCGACGACACGGCCGCCATCAACAAGGCCATCACCGACGGCGGCAACCGCTGCGGCGAGGGCTGCGACTCCACCACCACCACGCCCGCCCTGGTCTACTTCCCCGCCGGCACCTACATGGTGTCGGCCCCGCTGGTGCAGTACTACTACACGCACATGGTGGGCGACCTCTCCGACCTGCCGACGCTCAAGGCCACCGCCGACTTCGAGGGCATGGCCGTCATCGACGCCAACCCCTACGGCGACCAGAACAGCAACTGGTTCACCAACCAGAACAACTTCTTTCGCCAGATCCGCAACTTCAAGATCGACCTGACGGGCATGCCCATGTCCAAGGGCGCCGGCATCCACTGGCAGGTGGCGCAGGCCACGTCGCTGCAGAACATCCAGTTCGACATGGTCCAGGACGACAGCCCCGAGAATCAGCAGCAGGGCATCTTCATGGAGAACGGGTCGGGCGGCTTCATGACCGACCTCGTCTTCAACGGCGGCAACTACGGCGCCTTCCTGGGCAGCCAGCAGTTCACGGCGCGCAACCTCGAGTTCAACAACTGCAAGACGGCCATCTACCAGGTGTGGAACTGGGTCTGGAACTTCCACGGCCTCACCGTCAACGGCTGCGGCGCCGGGCTCAACCTGACGTCGGGCGACGCCGGCGCCCAGAACGTCGGGTCCGTCATCGTCCAGGACGCCAAGTTCTCCAACACGCCCGTCGGCATCCTGACGCTGTACGACCCGGACCAGACCGGGTCCAACGGCACCCTGATCCTCGACAACGTCGACTTCTCGGAGCAGGTGCCCGTGGCGGTCAAGAACTTCGGCACGGACAGGACCGTCCTGGAGGGCAACCAGGTCGTGGCCTCATGGATCCAGGGCCGCACCTACAAGGGCGCCACCGGCTCGTCGGTGCAGGCCATCCACGCCGGGGCGGCGGCCAAGCCCGACGCCCTCCTCGGCGACGACGGCAAGATCTTCACGCGCAGCAAGCCGCAGTACGCCGACGTGGCAGCCGACAAGTTCATCTCGGTCAAGTCCAACGGCGCCAAGGGCGACGGCACCACGGACGACACGGCCGCTATCCAGAAGACGTTCGACAGCCTGGCCGACGACGAGATCGCCTTCTTCCCCCACGGCGCCTACATCGTCACCGACACGGTCAACGTGCCGCCCAACATCAAGGTGGTGGGCGAGATCTGGCCGCTGATCATGGCCGGGGGCGACACCAACTTCAAGGACCAGGCCAACCCCAAGCCCGTGTTCAAGGTCGGCAAGCCCGGGGACGTGGGCGCGGTGGAGATGTCGGACCTGATGCTCGAGACGCAGGGCCCCCAGCCGGGGGCCATCCTGATGGAGTGGAACGTCGAGGGCACCGATAAGGGCTCCACCGGTCTGTGGGACGTGCACTTCCGCGTGGGCGGGTCGGCCGGCACCGACCTGCAGTCGGACAAGTGCTCCAAGACGCCCAACTCGACAACGACGGCCAACCCGGAGTGCGAGGGCGCCTTCCTGATGATGCACGTGACCAACTCGTCCACCATCTACATGGAGAACACGTGGCTGTGGGTGTCGGACCACGAGCTCGACCTGGCCGACCACAACCAGATCAACATCTACAACGGCCGCGGCTTGCTGATCGAGTCGACCAAGGCGGCCTGGCTGTTCGGCACCGCCTCCGAGCACTCGGTCCTGTACAACTACCACCTCCAGGCCGCCCGGAACGTCTACATGACCGTCATACAGACCGAGACGGCCTACTTCCAGTCCAACCCGGACGCCAACACGCCCTTCAAGGTCAACGCGGACTACTACGACCCCGACTTCTCTTCCTACTGCGGCGACGCCGACAAGACCTGCCCCAAGACCTGGGGCCTGCGCATCCACGACTCGAGCGACATCCTCTTCTACGGCGGGGGCATGTACTCCTTCTTCGAGAACTACGACCAGGACTGCCTAGAGACCGAGGACTGCCAGGTCCACATGGTCGACATACAGGGGTCCGACGTCGGGCTCTACGGCGTCAGCACAAAGGCCAGCGCCAACATCATCTCCAGCCAGGGTAAGGGTATCGTCCAGGTTCAGGATAACATGAACATGTTTTGTGCTACTCTCGCATATTTCGAGATGTCGTCTTGACATGATTTTGACATGTTTATATGATCTCCTTTCTTCCTTCCCCTCTTCTTCCCCTCCTCTTCTTTTTCAATCTTCTTTCTTCACTCTACTTTCCTCTCTCTCCCCCTCTCTCCCCCTCTCTCTCTTCTTACTCGTACTCTTGTTGTTGTCGTTGTTGTTGTTTCGAGATGATCTTGATGATGCTGGTCTGGGTTTCATGATACGAGGTTGGTGGAATGTGTATATAAGTCATGGCCTCTTGGTATATACAAAGCATCAGTTGCATTTATCTCTCTTACAATTCACTGCGTGCTGTACGCGTATCCTCGTCTACATCTGCTGATGTAATACCATCCTCAGCACGTATCACGGGCCCGAGTGCTTCTGCTCCTCCTACTAGCAGCCACACCATGAAGGGGCTAGGGTCAGTCTGCCAGGCCACTCACTATCAGCAGCAATAAACATCACTACCGCTGCGTTGAGCTTATACTCTTCCGGAGTTTCCAAAGTCGAAGAATCGTATGCAGTGAGTGCCCTTGGTAGGAGGGAAGCTCAGCAGCCAGCCGCCGAGTAACTGCTGACAAGAGAAGAGAGTCTCGTGCGCAAGGTGGTAATAAGGGTCTGATGAGATACATGGTCATCTGCATAACACCAGGAAGAGCAAGGGCGGAGACGGCTGCCTGGTGTTGTTGGGCCAATGATAGGGTGACAGTGACATTGATCTTCCATCGCCAGGTGGTAGTCGCGATGATGGCAGGGGACAGGGGAGGAGGATCTGGGGGGGGGGGGAGGAAAAAATCAAGATGAAAAAAAGAAGACTACTAATGGTATTAGTTGTAAGAAGAGAGATCCACAGTGAAAAACAAATGAAAAAATAAAAATTCGAGCTGTAGGGAAAAGAGGGAGGCTATAGAGGCCGGCTCTGTTACGTTAACAGTACGAGTAATGACGACGTTGGAGAGTCAGTCCCACGACGGTGGTGAAAAAGACTCCTGTGGGAGGGTTCTACGTATGGATCTGACGCTAGTACAGCGTATTGCTACTCAGCAATGCACGGTCCAAGTACAGTAGCAATAGTGACATGATTACTGCAGTACGATCACAGAGTACAGGGTACAGATCACAGCCTCCGTAAAGATCGGAAAGTGGAGACACACAGGACCAACATGGCATTTCGTACAGATACACATCTCGGTGCACACATAATACCACCGTAGTCACCGTCGATCGAAATGTTGCATGGTAGAATATCGATGCCTCTTCTCCCCTTACCAATCCCAAGAGCTTGGAAATCGAGTTCTGATATCGGTTCTGTACCGGTTCCTCACATGGAAACGCAGAGCACACCCAGCCGCTCCTTCCCCGTCCAGCGCTCTTTCCTGCCCAATACACGACCACCACCACCGATACCCAACGGGGAAGGAATGGACTAGTAGAATGCCATGGAATCGTCATTTCCACCTCAACACATCGCCCGCATCACCAACATCGTCTTTGTCTTCTTACGTCTACGCTTTTGCTGCCATACCGACGACTCCTCTCTTCCTTATCGGACATGAAACGTTTGCTCTCTTGACGAAACCCAAGATGCCGATATCAACGGAGCCGAGTCCGCCCATTCCTCGCGTCCTAATTGGTCTCCCGGACTTGCTCCGTTGCTCTCACCCTACTTTGTTGAGTTCGCGCCTTGCCTTTCCCACTTGCCGACCTTTGGGAATACGGTATGATTGTTACGACTCGGTGCACGCACAATACCCAAAGCGGCTACCGACATCCCCCCAATAGCAGCACCTCGAAGAACGATGGACGAAAATCGCAACAATATCACACACACACACGCACCACCAGGAACACAACACACAAACCTTCCTCCCCACTCTGCAAACCCATACGATCGAAAAGCCAAGACTTGCCACATACCCATAATCCGAAACCCCAATACTACTCGTATACCTACGTCGACGACGGACGCGGACCAGGGTATGTCCCGACCTAAGAAAGATCCATCCTTCCCTTTTTTTTTTTTTAATCGGTCTTTCTTCCGTTGCCGTTCTCTTCTCCTCCCCCCTCCCCCCTCCACTCCTTCCGGAGTTTCGGACTTTGCATGCCTAGTATTGCTGCGCCCATAGCTACACCATCCCTTCCCCCCCTATTGCGGCTGCTCACCCATCATCTCGGGCACTACGCGGCTGAGAACCTCCTCATATTCAATCGCCCACACCCCCCTTTCCAGCCCAGAGCTCTCACACGCCCCCCCTTCCCGTCCCCTGCCTCCTGCCCCGGCCTTCTTCATCTTCGTGCATCTGATTTCTTTCCTTCCCGTCCGGTGTCGCACGCACTCACTCGGTCGCTCACGCAGACCCAGAACCAGACCACACCACTGCAGGTATTGCTTAGAGATATATCGCGATGCCGACTGGCCGTGGCGTCTTCAAGGCCTGCCGGGCCTGTCGTCGGAAACGTGCAAGGGTGAGTCGAGTCTCTGCCTTCTCGTCGTCGTCCTCTTCTTCTTCGTCTCCTTGTTCATCTCGATCTCTCCTACCCCTCCCCCATATCACACCCGTTGTTCCCACAGGGTCCCCAGTTAAAGAGATCGGTGGATCAACTCCCCTCGGTTGGTCATGCTTGAAATGCTCCGTATTAACGGCATGGAGTACGGAGTATGGTTTAACCTGCTCCATCGGGCCGTTGCCGCCTGCCGCTCTTTTCCCGCCTCCCACTAGCCCCCAGAGCCCACATGCTCATTTTTCCTTGTTTCGTCTTCCTCTCCTCTCCTCCCCTGCTCCCATCCAGCTGACAGTCTTCCCTTCAACCACCAACCCCCCTCGCCTCCCCCCCTCCCCTTTGCTACTCCCCCACAGCCTGCCTGCGTTTTGGAGCCATCTTCCTGGGCTGACATCCCCCGTGCTATGACCGCAGTGCGAGGGCGAACAACCCTGCCAACGATGCCATCAGTGGAACATCGAATGTGTCTACGACAAGCGTTCTGGCGAGACAAAGGAGAGGCTCCGTAGCGAGAGGTCCGAGCTGCAACGTCGTGAACGGGCCACGGCCGTTGTCCTCGAAGCCCTAGCCTCGGGCGAAAACGCCGTACCCCTCCTGGAAAGACTTTGGAATAAGGAGTCTGTCATCGACATTGCAGCCATGATATCGAACCTCGGCGGGCACCCGGGGGCCAACAGCGGCACCAAGCAGCTCACCGGCCCCTCCTCGGCTACCGGCGATGGCTCCTCGGACGCGCTCGACCTGCGTAGACGGGATTCCGCTGCTTCAGCCTCCGCCTCCGCCTCCGTCCCGATACCATCTTCTTCTGCCCCCACCCAGTCACGACCGGCAGGGTCTGGACCGGACCCACTCGCCACCTCGGACGACGGCTACTCGGACGGCTCCCTGTACTCCGGCAGCATACAGTTACCGGCCCTCCGGCCCGAGGACCACAGCCTGTCGGGTGACTCCAGCGGCTACGCCCTCAGCGAACCCGGCCGCAACTTTATTGGCGATCCGGTCGGCCCTCCCGTCTCCCTCCCGAGCGACACCCATCTCTCTAGCGACATGGTGGTGCTCCCCCGGAAGCTTGCCTGCAACCTCATCGAAGCCTTCTTCTCCAAGCAGCATGTGCCCTTCCCCATCATCAAGCGTGAGCTCTTCATGCAGGACTTTGTGTCGGGAAAGCACACTTACTGCTCCACCGCCTTGGTGCACTCCATATGCTGCCTCGCCTGCCGCCTCGAGACCGACTACGGCCACCGCGAATCATACTACACCAGTCTGGCTGCCACCCTGTTCGGCGAGGCTGCTTCGCTCCTGAAATCTAACCCGAGCCATTACTCCCTTCCCGACGTCAAGGCCCTCGGCCTGCTGTCGCTGTACCAGCTCGGACTGGGAGAGTACCTCGATGCGAGGATGCTGGCGGAGGAGAGCGTGCGGCGTGTGGATCTGCATCATCGGCGGTCGAGCGATGCGGGGACGGGCGATGCTTCTTATCAGTCTACACGGGCAAATGCCTTGTTTGGTGCCATTTCGCTAGCTCGGTACGTGCTTTCTCAACCCTCCCCCTCGTGACTGGCCATTCTACTAACCTGTCGCCTTTCAGAATGGTTCGCCTAGCAACCGACTGCTTCTTTGACCCTGGGCAGAAGTTAAAGGATGAGGGAAAGACTTTCTTCAGCACCATCAGTTCCAACCAGACGGGTACTATCGATGTGCATGTCGAGCAGCGTAAGTGAATCCTCCCCCCACCCCGTCCTATACGATATCTCCATCCATGGTATGTGGGTGCGGGCGTGGACGTGCAGTTGGCTGATGTTGTGGTGGCGAACAAATGCAGTCTTGAGCGTACCAAGCATGATCCATACCAACTGGAGTTCTCAGAAATCGCCGTCGACTATGCTGCAGCTGACGGACTGGGTCTACTGCTTCTCCAGGCGGCTGCACGCGACGGATGGCAACAAGATTCCTAATTACCTGCGTGATACATATCTTGCCTGTCTTTCATGGTACGACTCGACAATGGGGAGTGTCGGTAGCCACGGCGAGCCCAGTCCGTTTGTCCAGTGAGTTCCCCTTCTCTCTTCTCCTTGTCACATGCTGTGCGTCTGTCTTTGTACGCAACGGCTGGCCCCGGCAACCTTGCTCTCCTCTCTCTTCCCTGTCTTTCAGGAAAAGTGCATACGTTAAACCATTGACAGCTTATTCTACCATTTCTGCCTACTCGTCCTCTTCCGTCCAGTCATCAACATGCGCTATACAGACTCGGACATCTCAGCCGTGGACATCTGCATCGAATCCGCCGATGCCCTGCTGACTTTGGCAAAGCTCTGTCACGAGATGGGAGAGCAGAAGTTCTCGAGTTTCGTCCCCGTCTTCATTCACGTCGGTGGGCTGACCTCCCTCGATGTGGCCAACAATGACGGCCGGGCCGTCAAGGATGCGGAAGGCGAAAAGAGGACAAGGATAGGTCTGTCCCTCCTAGAACGCGCCATTGATCTCCTGCTTGTTCTGGGAGAGGTCTACCCGTCAGCCCAGAAGTGCAGGAGAGAACTTCAGGACAAGCTGAACCTCAGGGAACAAGGCGAGGAGCAGGACCATTCTCGGTCTGCCAGGAGCCACCAGAAGGTGCCGCTGCTGATTCGAAATAGCCCTCATTCTTCAAAGAATCGCTAATGAACAGCGAACGATGGGGCGGACACGTCCCAAAGAAGAAGAGAGAGAAGGCAGAGCAGAATTCAACCCGACCGTCTGTTGGTCCTGACCGGCGACTGATGCAGACATTTATCCAACGGGATAAGAATTCATGCCTGGGACTCTCGGCGATGGGGATGCAACCCCTCGATGATGTAACGTGCACGGCATGGCATGATGGGGTCGGCACATGCCATCATGTCGGCCATGAGTGTCGTTGTCCCGCAAGGCCTCGTTGGTCCGTGCGACTCCGTCACATTTCATCGACCGGATGCATGCCAAAGGCTACGAACTTGAATAACTGAGAAAACGGGGACCCGGGATTCACAAGATGTCGGGGATGCCGATGTCACAAAAAAAAAAAAAGCCCAGGCCATCGGCCCTATAGTCTCAATGAGTCTCGATGGTACGTTACGATGAGCCTTACGTGGGGGGGGGTTAAGTGGGCCGCTGTCCGTTGCGGCAGCGTCTCGCTAGCCGCGCCATGATCTAGTTCATGGCGTCTGGGGCATATACAGCCACGACATGATGAGGCGACACCAGCACGGCGACGATTCTCGCCAACGGTCTTTTATCATAGCAAAGAAACATGATCCTTACCACCGGACTCGGCTGAACCGACCGACCAGGTCTTTTCCTGCTGGGATGCGGGGCGGGGATAAGGTCCTTTCAATGAAGACAGCCCCTGGACAGACGGCGGCGACCTGAAGGAGATGATTGGTGCTCTCCAGCAGTGCATAGCTCTAGGTGTGGGAAGAGCACCGTGACCTTACACCAGACCATCCTTCCCTCCTCTCCTCTATACCGGCCGTGTTTTTTTTCCTCACACCCCTTGCATGGCCATGGATGGGTGCGCGGGCCGTTGGTGCGATGGGCGACCTCGGTATAGTACCCCCGAGTGAAGAAAGCATGCAGACTCCCTCTCAAGCAAGGGTATTGGTGAGGAGGAGCCTGCCGGCGGGTCTCATGCTGGGGGGCGACAGGGCTTGGGGGGGGGGGGGGGGGGGGGG